TTTTTTTTTTTCCTTCTCTTTCCCCACCCCTATATTTCAAGTTCCCGAACCTGTTGCTCTAAAACATCTGCAGAGACACAGGATGAGAGGCAGCAAATAGACCATGTAGCTCAGAGGGAGGGAGCAATCGGGGGGGTCGGGGGGAGGGAGGGAGCAGCTTCGGCAGCGTTTCAGCAAGAGCTTGCCTTGCTTGCAGTCGCCTCGCAGTTACTTCGTCTGTCCAACTTCGGCAGTGGGAGGGTTTCAAAAATCAGAAAATTTGCAAAAGATCTCCTCCAAGCAGGCGATGTGCTCCCGATCCTTGAATCCCAGCAGATGTACAAAGAACAATAAAAATAATAACAATAATAAAAAAATCGGCGGCAGTGGTTGTTTTTCTAAAAACGATCAGAAATACTTTTTAAATATGTGTATTTATATATACATAGGAAAAGGGGGTGGTCACAGGTCGGTAGCAGAGGTAAAAAAAGCTTATTTGCTACTCATCGCTTGTGATGCGACTGATGGAGTGAAGGGGTAGGAGAGAGAAGGGAAAAAAAGTCTCAGCTTGTTGTTGAAGCCCTCTTCGTGTGCAGTGAGCGGCAGTGAAATGTCTGATTGCACCGCGGGGTTGTTGGTTTTCAGGGAGTGTTTTGCTGCATTTAGAGATCTAATCTTGCATTGCTTGCGGCGGAGAGCTGCATCTCGCTGCCGTCGGTATTTCCCCCCTCTCTGTCTCGTACACCCTGGATCACTGTTTCCTTCCCGAACCAGAGGGAGAGGGAATGAGGATTGCAGGGCAAGAGGGGAAAACAAAACACATTAAAAAAAAAAAACCAAAAAACCCAAAAGCCAAACCATCCCCCCAGCAAAAACTAGTGTTCTGATTTATAGCTTCCTTTCTCTCCCTCTACTACCAGCCTCCCACCAGTCCTTTTGGGGTGAAAAAATTAAGAAACCCACCAGTTGACCTTCATCACTAGTAGTAAATATATATTTTGAGAGAAAGCTCAGCCCGTGCTCAATCAGCAGCACACTTGGGTTTCTTTAAGACAGGCCAGTAGCCGCCGCCACCACCACATCCTTTCTCTCCGTGTATCTATGCGTATGTGTGTGTATGCGTGTCTGTGGAGCTGCACTTTTCTCGATGCAGTTTAATTCCAGTTTGCTTTTCTCCCCAGCCGAGAGGAAAGCAACAGGCAACCCATGGCTGGACGCATAGATTAAAAAAAAA